ATACACTGTAGCTCAGCTCACGGGTTAGTCATCCATTGCCTAGAGAATGTTTAACAATTACACAAACTCAGGAGCACACACAAATAGCGTTTGTTGTTCTCTCATCTGTAATGACTGTGTGTCAGTCAGGTGCCTCTGACCTTGGCTGGACTCACACATCCAGGGAGAAGGTGATTTAGCTGACCTAGATTGGCTTACTCCACATCATCCACCTCCTCAAGCAGGCGAGATGGGGCAGGTTTATGGTGGTGACAGACACACTACAGAGAGTCGGCAGAAAAGTGTGAAGGCTCTTTAGTTCCAGCCTTGGGACTGACTTTCTGTCACTTCTGCCACATTCTGTTGGCCAGCCCAGATACAAGGGATGGGGAAATAGGCTCTTCCTGAGATTGCAAGATCACAGGGGATAGGATGTGGATGAGACCTTTGGCCGTAAGGACTTAGCTACCTTTGCAAAGTGCTTGATGTATGAGATAACAAACAGGTCTCGCCATTGGAATAGACACCACTGATCTGGCCTCATAGTCCAGAAAGCCAACATCCTTAGGATGTTCTTATGAGATTTTATTAATCTCTGTATACATGTGAGCATTCTTTATTGATTCTGTTAAGTCCTAGTCTCCTAGGCTAATTAGCTCCTTGTCTTTTTTTTTTTTTTTTTTTTTTTTTGATACCAGGGATTCAACCCAGGGGTGCTTAACCGTTGAGCCACATCACCAACCCTTGTTACTTTTTATTTCAAGACAGGGTCTTGCTAAGTTGCTAAGGTTAGCTTTGAACTTGTAATCCTCCTGCCCCAGCCTCCCAAGCTGCTGGGATTACAGGTGTGTACCGCTGTGCCTGTCGGTTCCTAGTCTGTTGAAGAGGTTTTCAGAGGTAGGGACATTTTATACTGAAGCAGGCAAGGAGCCCTGATGGTGGTTTTCTTCTGAAAGCTGGGGATGCCAAGAGGGTAAAAGAAGCTATTTCAAACCCACCTTATGACTTTCTGTGGTCTGAGAGATCCTGACAAGCCACCAACCAAACTGATTGTGGGGAGGAGGGGAGAGGTGGGCAGGAGAAAATGATCTGGCAGCAAATTTTGAATCACAGGAATTTCACCCATCAGTTCTAAAGGGAAACTTCTGGCCCAAATAAAAACCATTTTCTCTTCTCTCAGCCTTTCGTGATAGGATCATGTTCCGCCTATTAATGCTAATCAGTGATAAACACTGGACTATGGTATGTGTTTTGACGTGACTGCTGCAAATTTAATGCTTTGTTTATTTAACTGCCTGAATAAGGAGCACATCAGAAGAGTTGCCATTAGCCTTGAGGATTGAGTAATGAATACAACTGTAATTTATTACTTTGATGCAGTCATAAATCAAACAAACAAACAAACAAAAAAACATTGAGTAGGCAGACTGCGGCTGTCCCCATTCACTGATGACTGTTACCTAATCAGCTAATTGAACATGAGCTGCTAAGTTCCTGTTAATGTATAAAAGCAAGAGGAACATCCTATTTTCCGTTGTACTCTTTGGAGGTTTAGTCACACCTAATTGGTGACAAAAGTGGAGACCAACCTTGGGTTTGAAGGTGCGTTCTAATCTCTTTCCAGATTTCTTTTAAGCTCTTTGTTCCACCCTTTCCTCCAGAAATCCTCCTTGGCCCTTCTGGAAGTGACTTTCATCAAGATGCTTTTACAAGAAGGAAACAATGTCCCATAAATTGCAGAGTCTGTGTAACCGGGTTGATCTTGTCGGTATCACTGGGGATCTTTCAAATACAGCCCTGGAAAACACCAAGCTCACACTTCACCCAAACAGGAGAAGAGCCACATGGTTATCTTAATGGATGCTAAAAAAAACATTGGAGAAAACTTAATACATTATTTCAATACAGTAGGGCTGGAGGGGTGGAACTGCCTTAACTTGTCCAACCGTATCTACTAGGATTCGAGAATAAAGCTTCCTACTTAAGGGTGTGAAGCATTTAAAGCATTTTCCATTGGAGTATGGGACAAGCAGGAGTCAGTCTCATGGCCTCTTACTCCTCAGATCCTGCAGAGCCTCATTCATGCAGTGAGATTGAAAATTTTTAAAAGGAATGTAGGAATTATAAACATTAAGAAGTCACGATTGTTCTTAGAGGGAGAGTTGATGATTCACCAAAAAAACTAAGAGAAGCTAGAACTGTTGGAACTATTAGGTCTATTATATATTATATACTATATGTATTATATATATTATATACTATTATATAAGTTAAATATATAATTTAAAAATCCATCAGTTGGGGAATGGTTAGGTAATTTCTTATGTCCAAACTATGGAATTTTGCTCAGCCTTTAAAAAGAACAAGGTAATTTATTTTTACTGATGTGGGAACTTGCATATGGTTTGTTGGTATATTAAAAAATTAATTTAAGATATGTGGATAGTATAATCCCACTTGGCTTAAATCACTTATGTGTAAGAAACCAAGGCATGAGAGGTTCACAACCAAGTGGTTGAAGGTGGTCACCTCTGAGAAGTGATGTGAGAGGGACTGGGAGAGAGGAGAATAGTAAGACCTAGGACTTTAGCTTTCTTGATACATTTCTGCACTTGAAATTTTGCAGGAGATATTTTTGGTGGTGTAAAAAGTTAATGTACTGATACATTCTTAAACCTACAATTTTAACATGAGAATGCTTTAAATCCACAAAAGGTAGGAAAAAATAATAACAAAAGCTCCTCTGTCTGCATCCCAATGACACTATTGACATTTTGGAATAAAGGGGGGAAATGAGTCCAGCAGAAGTAATTCTACAGAAAATGTGGATAAATAAGACGGCAGGAGAGTCTCTGGGGGAGAGAAAGGCCTTGGCTTTGTTTCACGGTCCTTTGCCATCTGCCATTTGCCACTGGGGAAGCCATTTTTACCTGGGCTGTGGTCCAGTCAGGTTTTCTCCATTCTGCAGGTAGGGATGACCTGCCTCCCCTGGAGGAAAGGGCTCGAAAAAGAAAGAACACTGAGAAAGAACTACCTAAATGGGAAAGTCCCTGTTAGAATGACCACGAATGACTGTCATAGCTCAGCATCTCAGAAGAGCACCAAAAACCCAGGAATGCTCTTTGTAGAAGCTGAACACTGAATTGGTGTCATGGCAAGGAGTTGGGTGGAGATGAAATGAAAGACCATGTGGTGTGTGTGTGTGTGTGTGTGTGTGTGTGTGTGTGTAGCTTAGGAATATTTAATATAGCATAAAAGTACAATACTGAAGTATAAAGGAGGATCTTGTTGTAACTTGGAGCAGTTGCATTTGGGAAGTATTAACAGATGCTTGGGAAGGTAGGGGAAGGGTGCACTGGCCTGTGGGGTGGTGGTAGGGGTTGTAGTGAGGGAGCGTTGGGTCGTTCTGTTGTTAGGCTCAGAGAGAGTTTTTAAAGGAAAATAAAACCCCTGTTTGAGATGTGGTTCGTTTTCTGAGGCAATGTCAAGCAGCACAAGAGCAAATCCAGCTTGACACCATCCAGCACAGATCCCAGCAGTCTCCAGAAGCTGGAGCTAAGCTGCAGCTTGGCTAATGAGAAATCCCCATCCCCTGCCAGTGCCTCAGGGCCCATCTCTTCCTCTTTGGCAAGCAGGCTGCAAATAGCTCAAAGCAGAGTGGGGACCTGAAAGGTCACCCAGAGCACTCATTTTGCAAGCTCCCTACCAGGCCCTTCCAAAAAAACAGACAAGCATGGTTTCACGGTTTTGCTAGAATGCAAGCCAATGGCTTCTGCTCCAACCTGGGGTAGCTTTTAATGAAACCTAAAGGGTACTTCACATAGTGACCTACCATTGGCAGTGAGGATGAAGATGAGGTGAGCCAAATAGCCATGCTGGGTCCTCTCATTTATTTTCTGGGCGTGAAAGAAGCAATTGTAAAATTCAGGTGAAACCAGAAGTTAAGATTCAGAGCTCCCAGCATAAACATGTTGGTCTGTTATTAAGTTCACTTTCACCAGTAAGACATATTCAGAAACACAATAGACCCATTGTTCTATGGATGTTTGTGCATTTCGGTGGTTTAGCCTGTACATCCGTCAAGTGGAGGGTAGATTGTCTCCATTGCGTCCTCTCTAAGTTGTTAAGTATGTTTGAGCTTGCCCCCTTCTCGCTGTCTCCAGTGCCATGGGTGCATGGTTTATTGCAGTGAGCTTGTATCTGATCTGTCTCTAAGGGTGCCTCCTTCAATTCCTTCATGACACTCTTTGAGTCTGTTCACCAAACTTCAGCTGTCTTTACTACCCAGACTTTTTCAGTGACATTCAGGCCCTTTTAAAACATCCTTGCTAGTGGCCGCATCTCTTGCTTGTATGCTTTCCCAACTCCATCTCTTCTTTGAATTCAGCCTTCCAGCTCCTGGAGGTCATCTGTAGTTCTTCAAAAATGCAAACCCCTGCCTTATCATTTTTTTCCTGAAAAATAATTTTTTTTTGCAAATCACTCTCTCAAGATGCAGCTATGGCAAATATCATTTCCATGGTGTGCTCCCCAACCCCCGTGGTGTCATGTTACCATTTCCCACACTCTGGAACCACAGGAGACTTACTTCCATCCCAGCACCTACACTCTATCTTAACTGGCTAATTACTGGTCTTTTCCCCAGGACTCACCTGGAAGACACCTTGAAGATAAACATCATGCTATTCTGTCCACCACAGCCATCAGTCCATCTAACACATAGCTATGTGAATGTGCAATAGGAAAGAAAGAATGTGTGTTTTTTAAACTGAGTGCTCCCTGCCCTGCCCAGTGTGTGAAAATGTGTTTGTGTGTCTTCGTTTTTGCCTGATGTGACATGAGTGACGTCTGCATTTATCCTGCTGTGGTCTCAGAAACATGGTGAAGATGAATAAGACAAATGACACCAGGGTCATATATAAGTTGGAGACTCTTGCCACTCACCTTGGTGTATCATCAAGTAGCGGGCTGCAGGGTCTCCCTGCAGTGTTCATGAATTTTAAACTCCTGTGTTGTTCCAGGTCAGCTGTTGCCAGCAAACCGCAATACACCAAGTCCCATCGATCCTGACACCATCCAGGTCCCGGTGGGTTATGAGCCAGATCCAGCAGATCTTGCCCTCTCCAGCATCCCTGGCCAAGAAATGTTTGACCCTCGCAAACGCAAGTTCTCTGAGGAAGAACTGAAGCCACAGCCCATGATTAAGAAAGCTCGCAAAGTCTTCATCCCCGATGATCTGAAGGTAAATTGGAACTGGTAATCAGGCTTTGGGAAAATGGAAAGTGGGATTGAGAGGCAAATGCAAGGGGTGACCTCAAGAAGCTCACATAAGCTAATGAATGAAGGGCACAGGGTTTCTGATCTTGTTTGGTGTGGCTTGTAGCTTCTTGGCCTACGGCTTCCTCTCTGGGTGTCTTCTGAAAGATGATTTCATGTCTTGACACTGAACGGAAATAAGGAGAAATAGTAAGATGTTAGATTGATGTCAAGCCTAGGAAGGAAAGACACCTGCTGCCTTCTGCAAAGAAAACCATGAAATATCTCATAGTTAAAACCCCAATCTTTCAAGGTTGGAAAGAGAAAGAAAATACCCTGGGAAGGATATCAGGACCTCATAGTCCTCCAACTATTATCTGCCTTTTGCAAATTTGTGGATAACCATTACCATTTCCCAGAAGGCCTCACCAATGAACAGCCAGAGATAGAACTTCTCTTCACATTGCCAACCTGGGGTGACCAGGGTGTGATAATGTGAATGAAGCTGGTAGACTCCTTGATGCTGTTTATATGTTACCTTCACTTTGAGTTGCAAGTGGTGATCACTTGAGCATCCCAACAAAATTCTAGATTGGGTTTCTCTGATGTCTTCAATGGAATACATTATTTACAAGGGGAAATAGATTTATGAAGTTGAATACAACTTAAAACAAAATCAATCTGACATATTTAATGATAATTTAGGATGAGAATTCTTTCCTAAATCATGTCATGTCTACTAATACCAACATGGAATAATTTTTTTTTTTTTTTTTTTTACCGGGGATTGAATTCAGGGGCACTCCACCACTGAACCACAGCCCAGCTCTATTTTGAATTTTATTTAGAGACGGGCTCACTGAGTTGCTTAGCACCTTGCTTTTGCTGAGACTGGCTTTGAACTCACGATCTTCCTGTCTCAGCCTCCTGAGTTGCTGGAATTATAGGTGTGCGCCACTGCGCCCCGCATGGAACCATTTTTAATTGGCCATTTCATAGAACTGTTTTGAATATATTCTTCTTTCCAATCAGGAGGACAATGTAGATATGATTGTACACATTCAAGGCACTGAAACTATATTTAATTAGCTCTTTTCTAACATCTGACTCCCATTTCTCAAACCTAAGTATGCTCATGTGTCGACTTTCCTGGGCCAGGAAAAGGGGAGTTTGGGACATTGTCTGAACTGACTTAGTCCAGTTCCTGCTACTTTTTTAAATCAAGGATGAACACAGTAAGAAGAAGTACCCAGCAGATCTAACTCACTGTTGTCATCCACATATCTGAGATTACCTTAACTGCTGCAGAATGGGAAAATGTCGGGGCTGAAAGGGACCTTAGAGATCCATTAGTCCAGAGTTATCACTTTGCAGTTGAGGAAATGGAGAAGCAGAAAGGGGAACTGAGGTTAACTCTACTTTTAGAGTAAGGCCAGCTCCCAGGTTGTCTCATTTCCAGAAAGGTCACTGCAGCATGTTATCCTGACAAGGCATACAGCAAAGGCCCTTACCCTGAGAGTCAAAAAAGGAAAGTGTGTGCTAAAAAGTCAGAAAATCTAAACTAGTCAGGCTGGATAGGATGAGACCAGGGTGCTATGGGATTAGATCCAGGACAAGTTGGCACACTCTTTCAGTTGGATGCCTGGTACGGTCTTGTGTTCTTAGTGATCCAATTCTAGGTGTATTTCAGAGCCTCATACCTTATCCTAAATCAGGGAGCTCGCTCCATATGGATTTCCTGTCTTTTGGAGGGTAGTTTAAAAGGATGTCACTGAATACTAGATAGAACTTTCAGCCAGACTTTCACAGAGTCTCCAAATTTACATGTTCAAAGCAAAGAACAAGATTGCTTAATAATCCAGCTAATCTTAGCAACAAAGAGGCCAGGTGAAACTGTACTGGAATTATACATGTGACTACTGTCATAGCCAGGCCCGACCTTTTCATGACCTGTTCATGGGCAGAAACATGCTCTTGCCATGTACCCTTGGGTTTTTTTTTTTTTTTTTTTCCAGTTGTGTATAAAGCCTGAAGCCACAGACCATGTGCTGGCGTGAAGCAGGAAGAATTGTAACATGTTCTCCTTTCAGCAGAGAGGACTGAGCTGGAGTGGGTGGGGGAGGTGTTCGTAGCCCCAGCATTGGATGATGAGTGGTGAACCGATGCCCACCCAAACTGGTCTTTCTCACTCCTCACTGCCAGAATTGAGCACACTCCTCCTGGGAGAATTAAGGAATGGCATACTGGGATTTCTAACCGAAACGTCAGTCTATTCATCTTGATTTCTTAATATTTTAACAGTCCATTCACTTACTTGACAAATATTTTTCAAATGCTAGTGTGTGCCAAGCCCTGTCTTGGGCCGGGGATACCAAGGATAACAATGTCAGCCAATACTGACATTGTTCTTGGCCTCATGAAATTTCTAGTCTGGTGAAAACAAAAAACAACAACAAAAAAATGCTAACCTATGAGAAGGATCATGGTTGTGCGGGTCTTTGCTGGTGCAAATGACTGAGTATCTAGATGGCATCAGCATCTAGGAGGTTGGGAGAAGGACACAGGGGATGTCATGCCAGGTTATCAGGTCTAAGCAAGACCCTGCTTTCCCCTCCCCACAACCAACCTGTGATGATAAAGGGAGGCGTGCTGGTTTTTCCAAGCCAAGACGCTTGGTCTTCTTCATTCCTGCCTCTGCATCCATTGTTCCACCCCTATTCCTCACTTCCCTCCCAGAGACATTTATGCTTCATTCTGCATCTTTGCCAGCTCATCTGCATGTGTGGACTGGTGAGGCTAGAAATGAAAGCACTTTAGAAGAGCCCCAAGTGGAGACAGAGAGGCTGGTTGTTACCCTGAGCTCAGCAGGTAACTCCCTGGTCCTTAAGACCTGATAGGATTGTCACAGACCAGCAAGTCCATGGCCTATGGCAATACCTCCCCCGCAGCCCTCTCTTGTCTATGATTTCCTGGGGGCTTGTTCTGTCCTCGCTCACCTCCTGGGCTCCTCTTCCCTGGTGTGTAGGTTCTGATCTGTCCTGAATCAGCTTCTCTTTGGAATGCTCTTGGAAGCCACACTCCCAGACACACTGACCAGTGTGGTAGTTTTACCAACCCTACAAAGGGGGTGGAATGGGGTCCTGCATCCAAGTGACACAAACAACCTCCATCAGAACTGGAAGCCCACTGTTGTGAATATGCTTTGGGCACCCTCCACCCCTGTGATGTCATTGGCTTTCCTAGTTCCTCCCAGTGTCTCTCCCTTTCTTCCAGCTCCTCCAACTCCCTTTCAGAAGCACAAATGATAGGTTCTACCCACAACCCTAGCACACCTGTCCAAGCTTACTTATCAGGTATTCTTCAGTGGGCAGCCTCCTCCCTCAGAAGAATTCTGGTACCACCTATCATAAAGATTTTTTTCACCCTATTATACATTATTATGAAATGTATGGAAAGCTGGGGGTGCTTTATAAGTAAGACGACAGTACTGGATGGTGATCCGCAGACAGGACATACTTTCCACCTCACATACTCTGCATAGTGTGAATGTATGCTGAGGGTGACAGGTAGGTCTGGGGAAAGACTATGATCTTGGACTTTCCTGGCAGCCTTGTTCCCAATCCCAATGACCTCTTCCAATGCCAGCTGTCCCTTGGAATCCAGGGGGGAGGGTAAGGACTGGCCTTACCGACATATTCTGGGTGGGATGCACAGGTAAGACGAAGGGGTTTTGCTATTGCAAGTTGTTAGGAAAAGACAGTTGCAAAATTGATCAGGTGGCTCTATCAATGAACTGGGAAGGTCTAAAGGAAGACTCACAGTTCTTAGTCTCCCCTAAGACACTTTCCCTTTCTTTTGTTAGGGGGAAAAGGAGGGTCTGCTTTCACACTGACCAGCTGAATTCTACCCAGGCTAGCTGGGGCCTGGTGAACAGCTAAATAGAAAATTAGAGTAAGTTACTTAAATGTTAGCCACTGATATGAGTACATTGGTTAGTGGCAGGACAAAGCACTTTAAAAAAAATTTCCATTTTCAACCACCAAAGTGTACATGCCCATTATATAATATTCTTGTAGTTCAGAAAGACATAAAAGGTTAAAGACCCCACTTCTCTCCTTTGTCTCTCTCTACAGTCACTTTTTAGAGGTACCACTTTTGTAGCTTGGTATAAATCCTTCTAAGCCTCTTTCTACGAATATATTCTGTTACATTTTTTTAATCAAGCCAAAATGAAGTCACACATGTTTATCAGCAGGTTGTCCTTGGTTCCACCCACACTGTAATATATCGTGAACATCTTTTGGGTTCAGTGGATTATTATTTTTAATAGCTATAGAGTGTCACCATGACTATCCTAATGTAGTAAATCTCCTACAGATAATTATTTTTCCCCCATTTTTTTCCTTTACAAACAATGCTATAGTAACAGTTCTGGGCCTGTGTCTCTGTGCACAAGCATGGTCATTGCAGCAGAATGGAATCCTAGAAGCAGAATTGCTAGATGGATAGTAAATGTACGAAATGGTTGAGGCAGGTTGCTAAATTGCCTTCCAAAAAATATTATATGAATTTACTGCAATAAATAAATAAATAAGCATAGGGGTACACATGGAAGGAAAAAAAAGTCCTTAAAAATTTCAGCCAAGAGAGTCAAGAATACTGGAATGTCGTTCAGGGTGAGAGGCAAGTCACTTGCTTTCGTTCCAGCTCTGATGTCTCCCCCACTGAGCACATGCTCTGTTGGGCAAAGAGCATCGGAGCCTGTTGTGACAAGTTGGTCCTTGCTCCAGGAAGGAAGCCATGGCCCGTGGACCGCTCTCTCCGATGTGCAGAAAGTGTCAAAGAAGGAGGCCCAAGTTAAGCACCTGGGCTGGTGTCTCCGCACAACCCTAGAGGCTGCCAGGCCCCTGGCTGAGGCGCTGCATTGCTGAAATCTAATATCTTGTTTCTTTTTCCTTCTGTCACTAATGAGCAGGATGACAAGTACTGGGCAAGGCGCAGAAAGAACAACATGGCTGCCAAGCGCTCCCGCGACGCCCGGCGGCTGAAGGAGAACCAGATTGCCATCCGGGCTTCGTTCCTGGAGAAGGAGAACTCGGCCCTCCGCCAGGAGGTGGCTGACTTGAGGAAGGAGCTGGGCAAATGCAAGAACATACTTGCCAAGTACGAGGCCAGGCACGGGCCCCTGTAGCATGGCATTTTTGCCGCTGGCTTTTGACTAGATGGACAGCTTGTTTCCTGTCTGATGCACCACCCCCAAACCAACCTTTCTGACATCAGCACTTTACCAGAGGCATAAACACAACTGACTCACATTTTGGTGTGCATACGTGTGTGTGAGTGTGTGTGTGTGTGTGTGTGCACGCGTGGGCGTAGGCGCGTCCATGTGCTTGTGCTCATGTGTGTGGTCCACCGTGTGTGTGTGTGTGTGTGTGTGTGTGTGTGTGTTCCTTTGCACTTGCCATTTGAAGATGGCCCTCTCATCGTCTTTTAGTTTGAACAAAGAAAGGTGCCATGTTTTGACTAGACTTTGGAGACCTCTTGTGGGTTTCCCTCCCACTCCCTTTCCCACTTCTGCCCTATCCTTGTGGCTTCACGTTTCCTGCTTACCTACTCTTCCAGGACTCCACTTGGATTCACTTAAGAAGAGCCCTGGTAAAATAGTGGATCTCAGTTCTCAAGAGTACAAACTCTTGTTTTTGTTGAATCCGTAAGTCGCCATGCTAATAAGGTGCACACAATAACTTAGCACTACACGCGCAGCTCTGTTCCTTTATAGGTTGCTTTCATTTCCCGCCCCACTCCACCCCACCCCCAGTTTTGGTGATGATCGTCTTCAAATTTAAAGTGCTGTTTAGATTTGTTAGATCCCATATTTACTTATTGCTATTTACTAAGTTTCCTTTTCATTCTACTGGCCCCCAGATAAGTAAGAGTACTATTATAGAACACAGAGTGTGTTTTTGCACTGTCTGTACCTAAAGCAATAATCCTATTGTACGCTAGAGCATGCTGCCTGAGTATTACTAGTGGACGTAGGATATGTTCCCTACCTAAGATTTTTTTCACTGTCTTTTAAAAAACAAAAATTAAAACAATGCATTTGAGCATGACCAGAACATCCCCAGGACAGGGAAGCAGAGGGTAATGGGAGGTCTATGAATGAGGGGTTAGATGGATCAGTACATGAGCCAAAAATGCTTCTTGGACTAGCCTGTGGCATTGACCTTGGTTTCATTGTCTCCCTTCCCCCACGCTCACCCCACTCCCACTTTTCTAGTTAACTTTTTCCATATCCCTCTCGATAGTCAAAAACAATTACTTAAGATTCAGTTTTTCCATTTTTTTTGGTTATATATATATATATATATATATTTTTTTTTTTTTTTGTGAATTCTATTTTGCTGTTTTTAAAAATCAGTTGATTCAGTTAATAAGTTGATGTTTTGTAAGACCCTGTATCCTCATGGTATCATTTCTGAATGCCTCATCAGTTAAGGATTCTGGAGCTTTCGTTTCTTATTCTCTGTTTGTTTTCGAACGTATGTGCTCTTATAAAGTGGACTTCTGAAAAATGAATGTAAAAGACACTGGCGTATCTCAGAAGGGGATGGTGTTGCAAACTGTGGTTCATCCAATCGATTTAAATGTTTACTGCAGACCAAAAGGAGAGATTATTAAATTGTTTAATGTTTATACAGAGTAATTATAGGAAGTTCTTTTTTTGTACAGTATTTTTCAGATATAAATACTGACAATGTATTTTGGAAGACATATATTATATATAGAAAAGAGAAAAGTATTCCTTGTTTTAAAATTATATAGCAAAGATATATATTCACCGATGCTGTATAGAGAAGAAGCGCTTTGGGGTTTTTGAAGTCTTTAATATTTTAAGCCTATTATTGACACATCAGCATGTTTTCTGCTTTAAATTAAAATTTTATGACAGAATCGAGGCTCGCCGTGACAAATCCTGCTCCGATGCTTTCTTGTTTCTTATTAGGTCTCAGAAAGAAGTCAGTTAACATCACCCAAAAGCACAAAATGGATTTTAGTCAAATATTTATTGGATGATACAGTGTTTTTTAGGAAAAGCATCTGCCACAAAAATGTTCACTTCAAAATTCTGAGTTCCTGGGAATGGAGCATTGCTGCCAGTGCCCCAAATGATTTTTTTTTCTCCTCTTCCAGCCTGTGCATCTCACGCCGTGTAAGGTTGACATCGGTGCTATGTGTATGGCTTATACTCTGATAGATGTTTTGACTTTAAAGATGATTGTTCTTCTGTTTCACTAAGTTGTATAATGTCAAGAGATTCTGCTGTTACTGCAAAGAAACATTTTGTGCTAGATTAAAATCCCCTTTCATCCATGGGAGTTTTCTATTTTCCTGCCTCCACAGTATCTTCATTCTTTAATGATCTGCCGGGTCCCCTGTCCATACATCATACTGCTCCTCTCTAGTGTCAAGGACTTTGGAAATGCGGCCAGTAGGCTATTTCTACTAGTACCCGTTTTGTTCCAAGCCACTGAGAATGTCAGGGGATGGGGAAGTATTGGAACTAATAATATACTTTATTTAGGTAAATAACAAATAAAAATCAACAAAACCTTTGGCTATCTTAAGTATTACTGAATATGAAATTCAGTAAGAGCCACAAGTGGACATAGAGTTGGCCTTTTTATAGACGAAGAGGCTAACTGCAGAATCCTTAAATGATAGTCGTCATTAAAGCAAAGAAGGACAAATTACACCTTTAAGTGCAGAAGTTGAAGGGCCTCTCTATGGACCATCCCAATTTTGGAAGTGTCACATGGTAACTGAAACAAACAAACAAACAAACCATATTTGAGCACTGGTCTTTCTTGGAATTACATTGTATCAAATGAGCATCACAGATGTTTTCTGCAGAATGAATAAAATAATCATAACAAAATTTATTCTTTTTTTTTGTGCCAGGAGAGGTTTCAGAAACCTACCTCGTCTTAAAAAATTAAACACTTTGGAGTCTGTACAGGTGCCTTATATGCAGGTCATTGTCTCTCTCTCACACACACACACACACACACACACACACACACACACGGACTGGCTGCCTGACTGTCCAGGGGAATTAAGTAATAAATAAGATAATTTTTGCTAAGTGGAGTGGGAAGCCACGGTCTGACTAGGAGTGACTTGGATCCAGGGTCAAGTGAGTACTTGCAGACTGCAGCTATTATGAGAGTCTTATTGTCATTTTTCACCTTTTCATCCTAAGCATCTTTCAGAGATTAATGATTTGGCCATTAAAAGTGAATACAAGTCACATCATGCCAACATTATTTAGATGCAATTTGGGATGAGTGGCATAGAACTTCCTGATAAGGTCACCTCACCATTTCTTTTGATTAGATTTAAAGAAAAAAAAAAGGCAAAGAAATGATCAGCCTATCTCTGCTGCTTGCTACCTTGAGAATGTGGCCACTTTGGACCATTCAGAAATCACATGAGGTAAGATTGTGCTAGGCCTTGGTCTTTGAATACCACAGGTCTCCATGGAGTCATCCCTCAAAGCAGAACCTTTTGTTTGAAGAGAGGGAGAGTATGGATGTGATTCTGGCATTGAGTTGGTAGAAGCTATATAATCTAACCCAGAGGTTTCTTCTAACCCTCTTGATTTTGTCTGGAAACTCATAATTCTAACTGTACATTCAAAAGGTCTAGGGTCAGAAGAATCAAGGAGAATGTTAAGCAGTACCCTCTGCCTTGCCCCAGAGTGAAACAATAGACATTCTGTAAAATGCAAAGTCGACTTTGGATTTTCTAGTAGTTCATTGAATTTCCCCCTTATGTTCCTTTTAGGAAAACTCACACTTGATCGGTTAATTAGTGAGATCCCAAGACAGCAGCCTGCTTGGCACACTGGGGTCAGTCCCCTACAGGTGACTAAGATGTATTATACCCTTCACAAGGTAGACATCTTCTGCACCCCATGTACCCACTTCCTCCTGAGGGCTCCTTGGCACTCCCCAAGGGCGAGACCAGGTTCACCTGGGGGTGTTGGCTAAAATTAATGTTTCTAAAAATGAGCAAAACTTTATCTTAGGTCTGATGAATTGGATTTAGCGACCAAATTCAGTGCATTTTGCAGGAAGTCAAGAGCATGCAGAGGAGTGTGTGTATGTGCATGTGTATATGAATAAGTCAAGACAGAAAATCTTACATTTTTTTGAGCACCTTACCAAACAACAATAACCCATTTTCTTTTTGGCAACACCACAAAGATCGCATCTGTTAAACAGGTACAAGTTAACATGAGGTTAGTTTAATTGTACATCATGATATTGGTGGTATGTATGCTGTTAGTCCAAACCTTTATCTCTCTGTTATTCTTAATGTTTAATAAACTTTGAATTTTTTTCCTTTCTTTCATGTATTTTTGTTAAACAGTTGGCACAGCAATTGGATTCTGTTCGACCTCCATAACCAAGAGACTATTTACAGAGACTAATTACATAGATGATAAAATTATAATACTATGTAATTAGTAACAAATTAACATTTACTTGGTAATTATGAGCCAGACACTGTTCTACACACATGAAATATTTTATTTAATCCCATATCAATTCTATGAAGTAGGGACAGTTGTTACCCCTGTTTACAGAAGAAGAAATTGGAGGATAGGAGGTTAGGCAAGTTAAGATTACCTAAAGTGACAGATAAATTCTGATTCATTGAATTGGTACCATTTAGAGGGGCGCTTCCCAAAGGACAGCCCACAGACTGTGTTCTTGTTGGATAAATAAAAATCACCTGGGGACATACTATAGGAGCACAGATCTAGCAATCTTGAAACAGATCTGGGCTGGGGCTCAAACTTCTGAATTTTTAAATGCTTCCAGCTAACTCCCATGTATGATTAAGTACAGTTGTTCCTTAGTGTCTGAGGGGACTTGTTCCAGGCCCCCTGTGAATACTAAAATCCATGCATGCTCAATTCCTTAAATAAAATGACACAGTAATTGTACATAACACATCACCTGTATACCATAAATCAGTTCTAGGTTACTTATAATATTTAATATACTGTAAATTGTATGTAAGTAATTGTATTGTTCAGGGAGTAATGACAAGGAAGAAAATCTGCATATGTTCAGTATAGACACAACCATCCTAGACCTAACTATATAGTACATGTCAGCA